CCAATAAATAAATAAATAAATAAAGAGCCTACAACTCTGGTGAGCCACCAAACCTCCTGAGTAGGGAGAGTGCTGGACAGCATAGGACAGTAGTCAACCAGTCTACATCGTACTAGAAGTAGGATCATTTCAGAGAGAAATGTCTCCCATGCTTCCATAAAAAGCCATATGATCAAGAAAAACCATGACCCATCCTGGTAGGTGACACTGGTAAAACAGTAGAACTATGTAAGTGTTAAGAAGGTCTACACATGATCCCAAAAAATAATCTGTGAGGATACTTAACTGACATGTATACATAGAGAGAAGTTAATTTTAATTAACACAAATCTCACTTTAACTTAGTCTTATACACTCAGCAAAAATAAAACCAAAAATTGTATATGTACCATAATATCTCAGTTCTCAAACAGTTCATGAACAATTCAATTCACAAACAGAAGCACTCAGCAAAAATTTGCTTTCGTTCACAAACTCCAGATTTGGAAGATGAACATGACTGTAGCCACCTTCCCCACATGAACACAAACGAAGCCATTTTTCCCAGAATCGTGGAAGTAATTAAGTTAATGAACTGAGGTACCACTGCGGGAATAAGTGGTATTATTAGATATAGATATGAAAAATGGACTCCAGGAACTACAGTGGTTCCCGTGGGCAGTCTTGAACTACACTTGTAACTTATCACTATTTTTTTTTTGCAAAAGTAATTTTTTTTTTCTGGTACAGGGAATCGTACTCGGGTTCTTGCACTTGCGAGGCAGGCGGCAGAACCACTGAGCTAAATCTCAGGCCCTTGTAACTTATCACTATTATTGCTCATCAAGGATATAAAGCCACAGTGACAGCTATAGAAGCACGAGGGTCTTTAAATTCCTTAGTTAAAATAATCCTTCAAAACCACGGACCCCATGACCTCCTCATTTGTTTCTTCTCAGCTAGAGGCTGTCAGTTTCCAAATAGTAGTACAGATAAAGCCAACAACAAATGTGATAAGACTCCTTTTACCGGGGTTCATTAGACTGACCCTCTAGAAAGACTCCATAACTGCTGACTCTTCTAACAGGGCTTCAATTGAGGGCCCCTTAAATTAGCTCTCTAGAGAAAATCTCTAACTTTGGGTTCGCTATACTGATCCCTTTCTGCAGGAAACAGCTAGACCAGCACTTTTGCCCATCTTCCCTGGTGGCAGTTAAAGATACTTCTTCAGAAGGTTGAGTGTAGTAGACTATAATAGAGTCCCATCGATTGTTTATTTGGCCTATAAGTAAGAACAGACTAAAATATTTGGAAAGATAAAGAGAAACTAATGCATCTATGAAATTAAGATCAAGATCAAGTAATACAGCTGCTTAAATTGAAAAATGTAAAAAAGAAAACACACACATACAAGATTCTTGGGCAACATTTACTAAGATAAAAATAGAGAAATAAGGACCCTTTTTTCCTCAAAAAAGACTCTTATGCAACATATGCTAAGCATGTCCAGACTAGACTTTGAGAAACAATAGAAATACAAAGTAACCTGTTTTGTTTACTTGTTTTCTTTGAAATGAGCAGAATAACTAACTTTTTCTCAAGCTCTGCTCATTCATATAAGAGCAGGACAAAAGAGATAATGTGGACTTCCATTCAAAATCCCCTCCTGGTAACACTAGCTGTTTCTCTTCTCCTTATTTCTAATTAATATTCTCCTAACTCCCTTCTTCTTTCTGAAATTTCATTCTTCAACTTTGTGAGATGATGAGCTTAGATTTATACAAAATCAACTGTTTTAAAAGGAGGCAGAAATTTGGGCCAGCCATGGTGGCACACGCCTACAATCTCAGCACTCAGGAGGCTGAGACAGCAGGATTGCCTGGAGTTGGAGGCCAACCTGGAATACATAGTGAGTTCAAGACTAGCCTGAACTACATAGTGAGACCCTGTGTCAAAAAAACCAAGAGTGTGTGTGTGGGGGTTCCATTATAAAATGAGTTCTAGGCATCTAACATATAACAGGGGTGGTGATGGATATGTTAATTAACTTGATTGTGGCTATCATTACTCAGTGTATGTGCATATCAAATTATGTTCTATGACATGAATATATTCAATCCTTATTTGATAGCTAAATATACAAAATAGAAATATAAGAAATAAAAATTGAAAATAGAACAACAAAGAAAGAGGAAAAGGAAGAAAGGAGGGAGGAAGGAAGAGAGGAAAGAAGGAAGGAAGGAAGGAAGGAAGGAAGGAAGGAAGGAACTTAAGCAAACTGTATCTGCCTGCCTTTTGAGATGCTTAAAGAGTTTTGGGTCTGAATGTTCTCCATATTACTATAGTTGTGCTCATTCTGTTGCAATTTTTTTCAAATAAAATCTCATCACTTAAGTCTGTTGGCTTTATATTAGACAACATATTCTCTTCCCTTAACCCAATGACTTCTAATAAGAAACATTTCTGATCACACTTCTTCCCCTACATTCACATTACTGTACCACTCCTTTAAAAAAGGACCATAATAAAGGCAAGAATTTGAAGAGACCAAAAAAAAAAAGATGTTCTTTGTATCAGTGGAAGGCAAATTCCATATATCAAATGAAAAAGTTTTCTTAGGGAACTACAACACAGTTTAGAGCTAAATTTAGGCCAAGTCAATACGTTAACTTTGAACACTAAGGAACTGTAACCAGCTTTCTCCCTCTGGGCTCTTGTCCTGAGGGCAATGAAAGAATGAGGCAGACAGAACAGCAAGCAGTAGAAAATGGTACTAAGTAAAAATTATTAGAATGAACAAAGAAAATCCCTTAGGAGATGAAGGGTACAAGGGGACACCAAAGAAGCATATGGACCTAAACCATTCAACTTTTTAGCATAGGAAAAGGCAGAGAGAGGGGCAGAGAAAGTGCAAGAAAGTAGGTATGCAGCTGCTGCTGGCCAGGCTTCCTGTTGGATTTTATTACTCCTTTGTCTCTGGCCTTCCAATGTTCCCTGAGGATTATCTCTGGTTGTTTTCAGTTTACTCAAGTCTTGGCACTTAGTCCCTTTATCTCCAGGTCTCATCCCTCACACACAGTAGTGGTGACCCTAACTGATGTGTGGAGGTGCTGGGGCATCGCTTGCTGGAGCCACTTTGTGCTGAGAGGGGGAGCTGACAGGGCAGCAATCAGGGTATTCCATTGTGATGTCTATTTAAGGGCCCTGAGTCGAAATCAGGATGAACTGTTAGGGAGTCTGTCTGCACCACCATTTTCTGCTTTAAAGCTGTCAAGCATGAAGAAACAAATGTGAAGCAACAAGAGCTGGAGTGTACATGATCTGAATTACATGGTTATGTGAAGCATTAGTAATGACCCTGTTAGGGGAAGTAACCAGGGTGTCTAATTTTATATCTTAAATATGTCTCATTTATACAATAACAAAATACTTGTCTAATCAAAGCCACTAGATGTAGATCAAGTTTTAAATGGCAGGACCAAACTTAGAGCAATGACAAATTTTGATCATTGCATGTGTCTGAGGTCTAGATGTATATTGTATAAAAGAGAACACCTATTTATTACTTTATTTGTATTAAACTTATGTAGTCTATAAATGTAATTTTATTTGAGGTTTGTTTTTTTTTTTTGGTACCGGGGATCGAACTTGGGACCTTGTGCTTGTGAGGCAGGCGGTGGAACCACTGAGCTAAATCCCAGGCCCTATAAATGTAACTTTAAAGCTTTAAAGCTTAAACTTAGACTACCACCACATCTTATTTTTATATATATATATATATATATATATATATATAGTTTATGCCTCAAACTAAGGTAATACTTGTATATTTAACCAATCATAAACTGTTTATTGAAAACATTTTATATGCACATTGAAAGGGTCACTGAAAGGAAGGGGCACACATATATTTAAGCAAGCTTTATTGGGGTGGCAGTTTATAGCCTGCTGGGCTGACTCACAGAATGGAGACCAGCAACTGCTTGGGCTGAGCTGGAGGTTTATATAGGATTTTGCAGGTGGGAGAGCACTAGTCCATTGGTGGGGGTGGGTAATTGGGGCTGGAGTATGTAGCAACAGGGGATGGAGTAACTGTTTTTGGGAAGCCCCTATCTTACTGGAACATCTGACCATGGAACCAGTGGGGTAGAAAGTCCTTAACTAGGCAGAGTCACTAACAAAGGGAGGTCATGCCTTAGTTATGCGGAAGTTCCCTGTTCCCTGTGGCCGGAGTGGGGCAAGGGGAAAGGAGAGGAGGGGGCTTGCTCTGTGGGGGCTCTGAAATACCTAACACAAGCATTTTATTTAACTCTTAAAACCTTCTTCTAGTAACCAGATGTTTAACCATAGAAAACACAATATAGAACCTTTTTAAAAATCTAGTTTTTTTAAGTATAACTAACAGCATCCTAATATCTTAAGAAATCCTTATTGTTTTAGACATAGAAAACGTAATCTTTTAATTATAATAAGCTTAAATATATTATAACAATGTATTTAATAATATTTGTGAGGGTATGTCACTGTAAAACTCTAAAACAACAGCAAAAAAGAGAATTCCCATCAGTGGATAAAAATCTGATCAAATTGGCTCAGAGCAGCTGCTTTTTTAGCCATTGAAAGGAGATTTGTCCAGGAGTTCCAAGCCCAATGGGATCTCCACTTATTTATCTTAACAATTATTTTACATGACTTATTGGAAATAAATCATAACAATTAATACTATTTTATATATATATAAATCATAACAATTGATTCTGCACAAGATATATATATATATATATATATGATCTCTGACCAAGGAAAAACTCTTAAATAATTGCACAGACAATAGTAGACATTGCATTTATAAAATCATTTTTTATTTTATCTTGATTGGCTAACAACCAGAGTGGAAAACATGTCATCAATTTTAAAGACATTTTTACACTTAAGAGTGATTTAAATTAGCCCACTGTAAAGCTACATGAACTAAAAAGTATTTAGGCTAATATCATGAGTGTCTACTTATTTATAAGCCAATTTAAGAGAAGCATATACCTGAAAATTGACATATAGAAATATACACATTAATGGAAATCATATATAAGCTTTATGCTGTCAAACTTTAAGACTTCTATTTCTAAGTCCCATGTAAGCCACAAGCCCATTAGCCCTCATCTTGTAATGTCTTAAGTGAGTTTGGCTATCCCAAAATACCTGTAAAATTGGTTTTTCATGGAAGACCCACAAGAGCCAGAAGTTTACAAGGGCAAAAGTTAAAGAAAAATAAAATTGATATGAGCTCCAACAACTTTACTGACACAGTTTCATAGGTACCTTAATCATATTAAATGGACCAGTAAGAAACAGAACACACGAAACAATTATTTTTAAGTTAAAGTGCACTCTTAGCTCTACTGGCAAAGATGAATTATGTTAATTTGTTATAATTTCAGGGTTATAATTATAAATAAGCTAGTCAGAACTTTTATGGGCTACCAACCTGTGCTTTTTTTCTTTTGAGGAGCAAATTATAACATAGATTTCTTGTAGTAAGCTAACATCAATGAGAGATTGAGAGAGAGAAAAAATCTTTGTACACCATGAAGGCAAGGACTGTTTAAAGAAAGATTATACTGATGGTTTGTCTTAATTTTGGAATAGCTATTATCACAGTGCAGGTCTCTTAAGTCCTTCTGTACTAGAACTACTACAGCAAACTGCTCCTTTGACAGCAGTTCCCCTATATTAGAGATACTATGGTAAACTGCTTTTGATACAGGACCAGCCGGTGGGGGAAATAACAGGAAAGTTCCTTCTGAGTTTTGCCTTTTTTTTTTTCTGTAAGAGAGGTTAGGGGATAAGGGTGCCACCTTAAATTCTTGTTACGATCTCTTTCTCTTCCTCTCTCTGCTCACGCCAGCAAGAGAGTAGAACTTGATGTTAGTCATGCTGTGTGTCAACACTTCATCTTGGGAAGGTGCACTCCAGGTCTGATCCTCATGGTGAATAGATGGGTTTGGATTGAATGAATTTTGAGGATCCCTAGGGATGACAGAAAGCACCCATAAGGATATTTCTTAGCTGAAACTCTAGGAGAGAGAGAAAGTGGTGCCAAGTAAGTGTTGTTTAGAGATGTAACTGTCTCTCAGAGTCTGAAGGAAGTGGTTGAGGAAGATCCAAAATTAGCTTCCCCAGTTCCTGAGCACTGGACTAGGTGCTGGAGTATAACAAGGGTGGCTTACAGTGGGTTGGAATGATAAAATGGCCTGGAGGGAACGCTCTCTTAACTTTGACCTAACAAACCCTTTTCAGGGTATCTAGGGCACAACTTGGTAGAATTGGCTCTAAGTAATTTAGGGCAGGGGCCCTGACACCAGGTACTTTAGGATCCAGAGGAGCGCAGAACATAGGCTAAGATCCTAACCTGTTCCCAACTCTATAAATCTATCAAGACATATTTGAAGAAGAGGGGGATCTGTCATACTACTAGAGAGAAAAGCCAAAACCTGTAGCTCAAGAGAGGGCTCTGATAAAGGAGTCATAGATCACCCTGGAAAGGGGATATTGAGAGCACACCAAGAGAAGCTACTTCTCACTTCACAGAGGAATGTGTGTGGGATGTGATAGATCAGTAGAGATTTCTCTGCTGAATACCTGGGCAGGCTATCTAGACCCAGCTTCAGCAGATGAACTTTGAGCACCCACTAGGGAGGACCTCTGGCCAGCATCACACAGTTGTCTCCCTGTCTTTCACTAGTTGTATGCAACCAGAGATCTGTCTCTGAAAAGGAACCCAGCTCCCTATATGGCTAACATTCCCACTAGTTTTAGTGGGGTATTAACCAGGAGGTGCTGGGGAACCTGTCCCCAGCTTCATGAGTGGCAGCTGCTCTAATAGCTTTTAACTGGCAGGTAGAATACCCGGTTTCTTAGATTTGTAAAAAGGAATAGAGAAAGAGTTTGTGTGTGGTCCAGCTGTTCTACCACACTTGCCTTTCAGTATAGAAATCAAGCTCCACATTGGGTGCCAAAGATATAACCAGTTCTCTTCCTCTGGATTCTTGTCCTGAGGTCAGTGGAACAATGAGACAGACAAAACAGCAAGTGGTAGGGAATGGTACTGAGGGTGATTTATTAAATATCAGAAAAGCCCTCATGAGACAAGGGGTCAAGGTGGATGCCAAGGATGCACCTCAATCTAGAAACTTATATATAGTTTTTTAGCATGTGAAATGGCCGAGAAGCGGGCAGAGGACATGCAAAATGCAGGTATGCAGCTTCTGCTTGCCAGGCTTCTTGTCACCGGTGGATTTTATTAGGCCTTTGTCTTCTGCACTCCAATTTCCCTTGAGGCTTATCTCACCTTGTCTTTACTCAGGCCCTTGCACTTTGTCCCTTTATCTCCTGGTCTCAAAATTACCTTAACTCTATCAATATTTTAGGTTAACCTTTCATTTACTTTTAACCTAAACTTTTTTTTTTTTTTTTTTTTTTGGTGCCAGGGATCGAACTCCGGTCGTTGCGCTTGCACAGCAGGCGATGAAACCACTGAGCTAAATCCCCGGCTCTACTTTTAACCTAAACTTTAACCTAATCTAATCAAACCTGAGTAAATTTCAATCTCCTGATACCAGTTTAATGTTTTAAATGTGTTCCTTTATTAATATTTAATGCAAAATTTAAAAAACTCAAGATTTGACATTGTTTGATCAAATAAAATATTATTGAGAGTATCTGACAATGAATTTAAAAATAAATACCATCCTAAATACATATCACTCCTTAGCATGTTTCTGCACAAGCAATATTACAATGTTTATAGAGTAGATTTTTAGGCACACAGAACAATTTGATAAAATCACACATGTAAAAACTTTTTCCAAAACTCTCTGGAGTCTAAAATCAGGTCAGTTATGACTTAGGTTATGAAAGTTGTGCTAATAGAATTTAATTTTAACATGAATTCATATTTCTGTCCAAAATTATCCCTGGATGAATTTTTTGAGCAAAAATTCTGTGAAATAAGTAGTATAGAAAATCCCTAAGACTTTTATAAATAATCTTTCATGCCACCCCACTTAGCAGAGAACTAGTGTCACTGTAAAAAATATATTTAAAAGAAATTCTTGAGATGTCCAATTGTATGATTAGTTCTCTTCCCTTGCAATTTCTAAAGTTCTGATGTATTCTTAAAAAGTCACTCCTTAGGTGTTCCATTGTATAAACAATATAATATCATGCACACTAAAATAATATTTTTCTTAAAATTTCAAATTGGTCATATTTTTAAATTTTGATAAATGAACACCATCTTAATCATTTTATATTATTATGTTCATTTAAATCATATTAAGTGTATACTTTATTAAGTGTACATTGGTGTTATGTACAGTCACATTATTGTACAACCAAACTTCAGATAATTTTCATATTGCAAAACTGAAACTTTATAGTCACTGAACAACATCCCCCCCTCCTCTAGCCTCTGACAACCACTGTTCTACTTTCTGTCTCAAGGAGTTTGACTACTCATACACAGTAAATGAGAATATATGGTGGTAGGAAAGAAGAAATAAAGGTAGGGAAAAAAGAAGAGAAGAAAATCTTGATTTTAAAGTTGTACTTTTAAGAAAAATTGCATCTTTAGGATGCAAAAGTTACTCAAGGCTTTTTCTCTTCCAGGAAACTCACTAGAAAATTCCTAAGGGTCTTAGAGACAATAAGCCTATAAACTCTGCTCTGGGCCTGTGCTTTTGGCCTGTAAATTGAGCTCTCTCCTACTGACTCATCCTCAAGAAAGTGCACTATTAACTGGAAATCATTTCTAGCATCAAACACATATAAATGGTTTGCATTCTAAAATAACCTAGCCAGATGGGTAAACCTGACAGACAATAGGAATACACATTCTAGATCGCCCATCTTGAAGACACCCCCAAAACCACATAAATATGCCCAGCTTTGGGCTATAACATATCTCTCTCGCTCGCTGCTCCTCTCCTCCTCCTCTTTCCCCTTCCCCTTCCCCCTAAAAATTCTGCCTAATAAATGTCTTTATGCCTCTCACTGATGGGTCTTGAAAACTCTTTTACTGTGACAATATCAACAAATGTACAACCTATCCCGAGGGTTGAAGGGTTGAAGTGAGTCAAGGTTCTCCATCTCCAATTTCAGAAACCTCCTTGGGCTTCATCTGGTAACAACAGTATTGGACTTTTTTGTGACTACATGATTTCACTTAACATAGAGGAATGCTGTTCAACCATTTTTTTGCATGTGTCAGAATTTTCATTTTTAAGGCTGAAAATAGATATATACTACATTTTGTCTGTCCATTCATTTGTTAATGGCCATTTGAGTTGTTTCTATCTCCACTGTGGTAGTGTAAGTAGTTTAGTTAGTTAACTTATGAGTAAGGCAGCTAGTTGGGGGAAAAGCCTGAGATAGAGTTGGAAAATCAACCATATTGATAGAAATTTGAATGAGAATACACAATGAATTAAGACTATAGATAGAATGACTTTCCTCAGGTAATATAGAATGTAGCCCACTCCCTACTAAAGGAAATTGCACCCATTCCCTACTAAGCTCCTGAGCTTTGAGGATCTTAAAATATAATGAGCCTTCTCAGGTAACATGGATCATGTACAACTCACTCCCTACTAAAAGGAGGTGCAGCCACTCTTTACCATATTCCTGAATTCTGAGGAATTTAAAATTCGAAATAACCAGGTTTTCCCCCCTAAAATCCCCATTTCCTTTGAACCCTGCAGGCTGAGGAACTGGGTTAGAGAGCCTGAGTTCTAATTGATCATTTTAAATCCACGGAGCCACCAGAGATAGGTAGCCACTAAATAATTGAGTAATTCCTATACTCTGCTTATCTACAATTAGATTGGATTGAGGGGCCATGTGGCCACACACTTGGAACACCTTCTGCAAACCCAAGAGCTATTCTTCATCTTCTTATGTCCAATAAAACTCTTCTAACTTCCTCCTTTGGCTCATGATTTCATTCTTCATTGTGATACCATGAACTCTGATCTAATAGGTTGAGAGTTATTTTTTCCCATCATAGTACTAGTAGTTCAACTGAGGGTAGTTCATTCCCCAAAGGTAATGGGAAATGAGAAATTTTTGGTTGTTTTAGGCACTTGGTGCTTAAATGCCAACAATACTAATGTAATGCATTATTTAGGATGGAGATAATTTAGACTAAAGAATTGTCCTGCCCAAAATATCACTAGTATCCCTGCTGAAAATTACTAAATAATTCAAGTTGTTAATATATTTGGTTAAGTTCTCAAACTTCAATGAAATTTAAAGCTAACATACAGCTGAGTATCATTTAACATGTACACTAGGGCCCTTACCTATATACCCAGGTCTATGCCTCTACTCCTTGGGGAGGAAAATTCTACCAAAGAAAACTTCAGAGCCAGACTTGGGTTCATTCATATCTACAGGAAGAAGGGATTCATGGTATGCCATCCAAGATATACCATTTTAGCATAAGAATTATTTTGAGCTAAAAGCATTGGAAATTCCCTGGATGCAGAAAGACTTCCTTGAGCTTCCCTCATCTGACTGAAAAGCAGAAATTTCTGAGAAATGAAGACTGACATAAATCCCCTCTCCAGGGAAATTTTATAGAAGATCGAACTTCAACACTGAAATTGACCTGCACAAACTTTACTTCATTAGTTTTAATCATAAAACTAAATTTCTCACATTTGCCACCAATTGAAATCTAAAATCTTTTCTCTGTCTTGTCACTTCTATCTTTTATTGTTTCTATTGTGATGCTATACAAAACCAAGTTCTAACCACTCCTTTGAGTTATCATCCATCACTGTATGCTCCTGTGCGAATATGTCATGCATTATTATTATTATTATTATTATTATTATTATTATTATTTTGGTACCGGGGATTGAACTCAGGTCCTTGCGCTTGCACAGCAGGCAACTGCGAAACCACTGAGCTAAATCCCTGGCTCTCATGCATGCATTGTTAAAATTCTGCTTGTTTTTCTTCTGTTG